ACTAGTCTACTAAAACACAGCCAAGACAAGTTTCTTTTTACAGACCGAAGGTCGGTTTTTATGTTACTTGATACAGTAACATGAGTGCACCTGAGCTGTGTCGTTGTAACTTCTGTATTGTTAGCCAGGCACAGAAGAAAGGTCAATATAATGTATAATAATAAATATATATAAATGTACAATGTTATGAGATTTAAGCTATTTCGTCTAAACGTTTATGTTTTCATGTTATAATTTATGTTCATTGTAGAATGAAAAATGCACAATTTATGTTTATTTCCTAATTTTTTATGGTGGTTGCGAGATTGGTCAAATTTACCGAAACTGTACAGAGATTAATTACTGAAAACAACAGATAAAATATAAAGTTTTTTTTCTTAAGAAACGTTTGATAAATATTTGGACATCATAAAGATTTCGCATGTGAAATTTCGAAATTTTTTTGATGGAAATGTTAAGATGAAAATTACTTTGCATGATAGACAGGCAAGATGTGAAAAGAAAAAAAAGGCACGAGAGAAACATTGCTTTTCAAACCTTAAACTTAATAAAAAAAATTAGATATTTTGCATATGAAAGCATTGTAATGTTTACTGATACACTGCCAAATTTTGTTAACATTCGCTTACTAATTTAAAAGTTATAGCATCAAAACTATAACAAACACAAAATAGTTACGAGGTCAGTCCCATGGACCAAGCCCGGGTTGAAAGAGTTAACTCAGTACAACACAGAAACAAAATTGTTGTTAACCCAGTACAAATTAACACTCTGGTCACACTCCATTTGAAACTATTACACACAGAACTTGAAAGAAAGGGTAAAACCACAGTAATTAACAAATTAATATTAATTACAAATACCTACATACATACACAAACACACTTTCAATGACTCGTATCAAAACTTTTTCATGAGCACGAATGTTTAAACCTTGAAAAATGGCAAACACAAAACACGTGCACTTGAATTATTTACACATGTAACACAATGTTATACTTGCCATGTAAGTAAATAATGGAATGAGTCCTCTAAGGCTGGATTCAAACTGTTTTAATACTGAATCAAAGATCTTCACTAAAACCTGGCCTGCTTTAACCTGAAAAAAAAAATTTAAACAAAGAAATAATAATAACCACCCATAAAATGCTTTAAAACTATAAGACATACCTTAAATTTATTCAAGGAGTACATAAAAAATCAACACACCATCATATAAAAGTAATTAAAAACATGATCAGTCTGAAATAATTTTGTGATCAGTATATTATTAAAATTCACAATAAATGTTACACGAGGATTAATCTCTCAACAATTAAAAATCTTATGCGTAACATGCCACCTAAGGATGTAAAAAAAGTTTATCCAGTGAAAATTCAATAACAGTAGCTGACTTTTTAGAAAATATTTGAAAATTTATATCTTTAAAAATGATTAGTTTAACAGAACTTAAAAAGTTTCTCTGTTAAAGCTTTTTTTTTATATTTACACAAGATATTTACATTTCCACATTCCCAAGGAATTTCACCTTTTTATTGGTTTTCCTGATTGGGAATGCACGGTCCATCCATATTCCTTTAGTTATGACCAATGAAAGTGAACATATTGCATGGATTAAATAGAAACAATTCAAGAAGAAATACAACATTACATGAGGGAATGTAATCTTCCCAATAGTAAATGTAATTTTATTTCACTGTTTAAGGTAAAGAAACTTTCTGTAAGGTTTGCCAAGGAATATAAACATATATTCAGTGTTTTTTAACCACTGTTAATGTCTAATTTAGGCTACAGTACAATTTCAGATGTGTCCATCATACCTCAAGCTCATGGTTTACTTTCTCCCAGTGTATCTTTACTTCAAACAGAAGGTCGTGGTACAACCTTTCTGAATAATTCTTACAAACACATTTGTAGACACAACTGAAAAGAAACACAACAGAAAAAAACATTAAGTCTTTCCACTGTCTATTCTAGTCACATAATGCAAAACCAGAAAATGTAGAAATGCAAAGTAAAACCTTATTTTAGAGGAAACTTCTAAAAAATGTAATCAGAATTCCCACTTAAATAGATCCTAAATGTTAAATTTCGTCATGTGTTTTTGTTATAATCATTCACTGAAGCCAGAAAACGACCAATATTTTGTATAATCAACAACTGTGTACATCACTAACATTTCACTACGTGTTTCTGGTTACATTATATAATTACAGTGTTTTTTATACAATGAACTCCTCACCCTAGTTGCTATGGTAGTTTTTAAGAGCTGGGTGATCAGTGGAATTAGATAATCAATTAATTTGATTTGCCCAACAATTAATTTATTACATTCAGCTAATTGATTATTCTTACACAAGACTAGATAGTTGAAATAGTCAAAAACATTAATAGTCGGAAACACTCATTTCAATTAAGCCGAACACCATTCAACCAATCAAAAATAATAAGAAGAAATCATAATGGCAATATCTTGTTTACTTAGATAGTTAGAATAATAATAAAAATCAGACACTAATTTCAATTAGTTGATTATTTTCATGACACTGATCAAAGTAATCAATGCTCATGGATATTTAATTATATCAAGTAACCAAGTTATTACTCAACCAGCTCTAGTATTTATGCAGGGCTCACCCACCATATTTGCCACTTCATAGTGTCAGGCTAATATCACAAACGTTAAACCAATGTGTCAAGATTTTTGGCAAAAGTATACCCTACAACCCTCTCTGTACTGATCATGTCATGCCTATTTACAGTTAGTAATAAATACCTCTGAAAAAAGTTAGATAAGTATCTTCATTGAGTTGACAATAACAAGATTCCAGCACCGTCAATAACACAATTCCTACCTTCGATGGTTCCAATTGGTAGTTTACACAGTGCTGCTTGGGCAAATCCAAACATTCTATGATTCCTTTTTAGCAACTGACTACAATGATTGTATTCTCCAAACATCCACTGAATAAAAACCAAAACATAAGTTAACTTGAAAGCAGGAACAGATAAAGCCCACCATATGTAATCCTGTTAATTGTAGTTTTATGTAACTTTCACAAAGTTTTGGTATTTTCAATTTTTGCTAAAGTTCAATTAAGACATCGGTCAAGAGCATTTGGAATTAACATGAATCCACTCTATTGAATAAACAATTCTGAATGTTCACAATAAAATGTAGTTTAATTGGAAAATATAGTTGTTCTTTACACTTCACTTGGATACAAGCCAAAGTGTGCTTGGGGTACTTGAAATTTCCTTAAGTTATTATATTTTACTATGTTAACAGTTTCTTTTCAAACTGTAATATTTAATGCAGATAATTCAGTGATTTTTCATAAGAACTGACTGCAGGCCTAAATGGCTGTTTTAACTGTGATTTGGGCTAGTTGAAATTTCTTTTGTAAAGTTGAGATTGAGTATTACTTGCGATAGCTCATTTATTCCAGTAAATTGTTGTCATCATCATAGAAATAAAACATTCTATTGGTTGGTGATCTCAATCATGTAGAAGTTTGAATGCAACAGTGATTATTACAGAAAGCATCTTTTTTGACCTGTATCAAAAATAATTATGGCCTCGAAATGTAAAAGAAAAATAATATTGAATTATTTGGCCAAATCCAAAAGCTCCATAAAGGTTGTGTAGGGAAGACTATGTCAGTAAATCTATGGTAGCTGATGAACCTTCATATGTTTAGAGCTATCTTCAAATTTCTGGCTAGTGAATGAACTTTCAAACATAGCCCTAAAAAAAAGTGCAAAGAAAAACGTCAGAAATAGATCTGATATCAGTTACATTTCTTTGAACAAGGTGTTACAGTCCATTCTACAGAATCTGTTTGGCTGCATTTTCCAATTTTTAATAAAAAATTTAAATCCACCACAAATACTAAATTACAAAATCGGGATGAAATAATGTAAATGATAATTTTCAGATACTTTACTATACAATGAGGAAAACATCAATGGTATACATATGCAAGTGAAAAATACAGATTTTATGTAAGAAACTTTATCCCAGCAACAATCACAACTAAAAAGATCAGAATTAAAGCCAACACATCCTAAACTGTGTACCTCATTCACTGATAATGACTACAATGGATTTTCTACATAACTGCATACTTACCTATAGACATTCTCAAACGATACAAGTCCTCTATGCCCAATGGACTGTGTAAGCAGGAGATCAATAGCATTTTGAATTGTAGGCCAATATTCCTGCTCATACTCCGCGGAAATCATTTTATAACCTGTTTAATAGATAATAATAATAAAAAATTAAGATAGACATGAAAACTTATACAAATGAGCTAAAAAAGAGTTTATCATATTTTGTCACATTCCAAGGAATCAATGTAATACGTGACATTCGTAAATGGTTAAATTCTTTAATAATGTCAGTTTGTGCTACAACATTAAGTAAAATGTTCATCTTAAGAATTCAAACTGTTGAATATACGATTAACTGTACCTACTGTCAACTTAAGGATAATTAAATGATCTTTCTAACTTTTTTAATACTAAAAAATTTCACATTTTTTAAACGATTCAAAGCTATGGCCCAAAATTACCGATGTGAAACTAACAAACTGTTGATTAGTGTGGCAGTTGTATTAATATAACTTAGAAGACACTAGAAAAAACTTATAATACACATTTTAGAGGTAAGATTCACAGATCCTTACTGTCAAGTATCTATACACCCATGATACGTGACTTTCAGTTGTTTATATTGTAGGATTACGAGTATAGACAGTAATCATAATTCTGATTAAGAAGTTTGTTTCACTTGCTGGTTCCATGCTGGTTTGTGATCTTTCATATCAGTTGTATGACATATCCTGGCTAAGTATTATGAAATGGGAATAACCAGATCTCAGCTTTAACTTGATTGATTTCTACAGGTATTATGTAGCACATAAGCCAGTCATCTATACTCATATTATCTGACTTATTCAGTGCAGTTTTCCCAGAAGCATGTTTAGAAATACAGTCCACAAATGGTTTCTCCTTGGAGGTACTAATAAACTTACACTCCACCCTCCTCTTAATTTGTCCATGATTAACACAAATATCAGTCCTAATGACTTCTAGAGCTCTCCTTGATTTTGGTGCTTAAACCTTAACTTTTATTGATAAAACTTTTTTTTAGTATAAAAAGGTGGTTGTCAGCAATAGGTTGGTGTAGGTGTTGCCAATCCAGGAGCTTGTGGCCTAGATACACTAGTTTCCATCCAATTTGAGAATCTTTTAACTTTTGTGAAATATTTAATATAAAAACGTGCATGTAATTAAATCCAGTTTTGATACTCAAAAATATTTGATAAAAAACATGACAGAAGATTTATTTATACAAGTTGTACTTCTGCAGGTTCCCTGAAAGTGTTGTTTCACGAGAAAATAAAAAATGAAGAGTGACAAATATCTGTATTTCTTGCTTTTGAAGTTCATGTCATGCTGTGTTGTAGCCTATAAAGTGCATAATTTTTTCACGATTCATGATGTGCACATTTTGTTGATGTCTCAACAGTACAAATTGCAATGTTAAGCATGACTTATGTGACAGCACTTTAGTATCTACTGACTGACTGACAGACAACACCTTACTGTAGTGTGATACGAGTGGTTAAAACAGGTGGCCTTTAGACACGTTTCAGGGAAATGAACAGGATACACACACATATATAGATAAGACAGATATTTGCTAACACTTAATGTACAAAATAATTATGACAAATAATTTTTCACATTAGTTGCCCTTCCCCAGTGTTGTTTCCATAGCTGAACAATGGATGACATCATAATGAACCCATGCTTTTCATTCCAAATTTTGTGATGGGTCAAATTGGAATTATTAACATAAACTACACCCTCAATTGTGTACGAGAAAATACCAAGAATATGGTCAACTACAATATTAATAAAAACCACCTTTTGCCCATGTTGAAATGTAATAAATTATGTAGCTAGGTGACAATAAACAAAAAAAAATAATAGGCTTAGTCAGATAAATCTTGATTTATATTAATGGTAAAACCAACAGTGCTAATCACCTCTCCTCTCCCCTGTGCTTCCTTCCTCATAATCACAAGTGCTTTCAAAACCTTTTAAGTAAACTGAATAGGTTGAAAACTTTTAATTTTTCTACTTAACACATTCCCTTCGTGGCGTAAGTGATTTCTCTAATTATGCAATAGGAAAGTAAAGCCTCATTGTGAACCCTGTCTTAGATACAGCTAATTTTATGGTTTTATGTTATGTTTTATGACAGAATGACTGCATTGACAGCTTTCTCTTAAGTGTACCACCAGTGGTACACGATGTCCCGTCTTTACCCATTTAGGCTTTGGCCACTGGCGATGCACACTATGATTTAAAAAATAATAATAATCAAATGAACATAATATTTAATAATTTTTTTCAGAGTAGCTTTGCCATTTTTTAGAAAAATTATGAATATTTCACAATTTTATAGTTGTAAAAAAGGGACATCAGATAAAATAATCCCTACTGTGGATGACAATAGTTCAAAGCTTGTGATGACAAGCCTACAGTGTGCTTGGAGTTCTTCAACAACAAACATAAATCAAATTAGAATGAATTAAAATATTCCTTGTCTATCCCTTTTTTCCAATTTTCATAAAAGGCTTTCTGAAAAAAAAAAAATGTATAATTAGATTTTTTGCCCCACTTACTCACTATGAAAATGTTATTTCCATTTCATTTCTATCTTTATTATATTACAGTTTTCATAAGTTTTTATTTATGAAAGAAGTCTAAATTAATTGTTTTTTGTTTCAATTACTCACAATGAAAAATTTAATGCTGATCTCTAGATGTAATTTTAAAATAAAAAGTGATATAAACATGTATATTTGTTTTATTTCAGTTGCCCTTTTAACATGGCATCCGTGCTCCTCCAGTGGTACATGATGGAAGGCACGGCTTTATTACACAAAATAAATGCTTCATATAGGACTTTGGTGATATGAGGTACTGTTATATCTTACACATGGCTCACAACGTCATGAAACTGCTAATAAAAATTAATAGCAATTCTGAATTCCTAAATAAGGTATTTTAACTTTATATACAGTTGATGAAGTCTTTAAGACATTTTTTTTGGTTTCTGCCAAGTTCATCCAATAGATGAAAATCTCTTCTAGCAGATAACAAAACAAAAGTGAATGGAAGTGACGATGACTATAGTAGCATAAATGAAAGTTATAAATCAGTAGGACTAACTGCTGTAAGTGTATGAAAAGCAACATTAATATTATTCTTTCCTATTTATACATGATTTCAATTTTCATTATTATAGTATCGATAACGATTGTAGCAACCAGACTTTCAACTGTAAATATGGTTAATAATTTATTTAACAAATACAATCTAACCATAAGCAAATACCACTAATCACCCACCTCTATTACTGGAGAGTTGGAATACTCAGAAACACTAATAAATGATTACTTTATGTGAAACTAATCAATGAAATCTATACTCATGGTTATCGATTAATCAATCTCCCAAATCTATTACCTATGTTGTTGTTTGTTAAATTTCACACAAAGCTACTCAAGGGCTATCTGCACTAGCTGTCCCTAATTTTGAAGTGATAGACTAAGGGAAAATAAACTAGTCAACATCACCCACTGTCAACTCATTGGCTACTCTATTTAAATAGTGGGATTTGACTGTCACTCTTATAATTCAACCACTGCCCCAAAATGTGGAGTATAAATTTTTTTTGGCATAATGGGGCATGAACCTTGGATCCACAGTTTGACATGCTCAGCACTGAGCCGCTAACCTATTACCTATATATAGTATTATTTAGATTGAATAGTGTTATTTAAAATAATTAATCAAAATTATTGTAAAATTAGTTAATGTCATGAAAATAACTATAATTTCCAATTATTTCATTCATCCAGTAATCAAAGCTATGATTAATGTCATAAAAATACCAATTAATCTAAATTACTTTCCTATTATTACCATTTGATTATTCCAACAATTATACATCCTCACAAGTTATTAATACAAAATAAGACAAGACTTAAATCTTAGCCACAAAAACTGTTAAAGAAAAATGGAAGGTTTGAAAAAATGATAAGGCTCCTGGCTAAGGTATTTTTCCAAGAGTATTAAAAGTGGTTAAGGACTGCATAAATAAGTGCCTTATTAACATTTTTTGAGTGTTCTTGAGCAGATGACCAATAGATAGATAATGTTACATCTATTTTTAAGGAAGATGGCAAACATTATAGGCCAATTAGTCTTACTTCTGTGATGGTAAATATTTTGAAGAAACTTAATTATTCATGCTTTGAAAATTCATCTAACAAGGCTTACAATTTTATTGGACAGCCAGCATGACTTCACAAGAGAAAAAAGTTATCTCGTGAATTTTTGTGGCCTTCTTCAGAGACTTCACCACTTATACCGATAGAATAAAGGTGTAATTTGGTACACCTAGATTTTCAGAAGGCTTTTGACAAAGTGCAAGATTAAGGACTAGTAAATGAAATTATCTCTGTGAGTTAAGTTAGCTCAATGTAGTATGCTCTGGCTAAGAAAAGAAGAAACAATGGGTTGTAATAAATGGAGTTCAGTCAAACTGGATTGGAGTTGCAAGGGAAATACCTCAGGTCTTTGGTCTGGGACTCTTACTCTTTTTTAACCCTTTCTACATGAATCATGGGTCAAAGGACATGTCATCTTCTTTGTTGACTCGCATTCAAAATTTTATTGAACTATTATTTCATGAATTTATGTCAATAAGTTTGGTATCAATCTGTAATTATAATTCAAATTTTAGTATTATACATTACTCAGTTTCTAAATTTAAAGGTAAATATTAAAAAACATAATTAAACATCCATTTTTGTGTGTCACGTGGTATGGTGAATTCAGCACTGGTT